ACACACACACACACACACATATATATCTATATATATTTTTTCTTTTGACACAATTTGATTCTCACAATTTTCTGAATGGTGATTTCTTTGCAGAATCATAGTTTTTCACCCGAAATTCTGCTGTTAAACAGGATTGCTTAAAAAATATATGTTGAAATAACTTGAAATTAATGGCTTCAACAAAAGCATATACCATTGATTTAAAACCTCGTAGCTCACAGTAGGTCTATCTTTAACAGTTTATAGGTTATTGTTAAAAATCAATTCCTCTATGGAGAAAATGAATGTGATTTTTACTTTGGAATGCACTCTATTGCCCATATAATGTGGCCATGAGAGCTTGCACTCATTTAGGCAGTTGCTTTGTTTGCTAATTGCTAATGGAAGGAAATAACCATTTGAGTAGGACCATTGTGTCTTGATTAGCAAGCATTATTGCCGAGTCATGGCTCAAAAAGTGTGTTTGGCCCAATCGAACACTTAGCCACCTTTTAATCTACTGCAATCAGAGTAATCAGCAGGAGCTGCCTGATATTTGGGTTTTCTTTGCTCAAAATCGCCTTTGTCTTTTCTTTTCTTTTTTTAAATTATGCTGCACTCAAAGGTGTTTCTGTTGCTCACTTGCTCTAAAGTCTTTCACTGACTTCTCAGTTAATGACTGATTACATCAATGTTGAGGATTGCGTTTGGTAAACACATTTCCAATCAAGCACTTAATTCAATTGGAAACCCATGCAATGCTCAGCTCACATCTTTTTCTGAGAGTCACGCTGCCCATTGCCCCATTGTTTTGAATCATGGGACAATTAACACCACTCAGATGTAAATTATGAACATTCTTTATCAGCCGTATGTCTACAAAAGAGGACGAGAAAGAAATGGCAAATGGTTTTCATATTACAGCAGTTAAAAACCACATTACAAACAGTTTAGTTTGAGTTATCTTAAGGAAAATATCTATTCAGTCTACTAACACCAATTCCAGTTTGGCTCACTCAGTGAAAATTGAAACTCACTTCTCTATAAATCACGGGGATGTTTTATTGTTGTGTAGCATTTTACTAACCATAGTTTCAAACGGACAAACTTGACATCGTTATCATTTGATACAAACTTTCCTCTTAACTGTTAAAATCCCACACATGAATGCCTTTGTATCTCTGTAGATATTTTGGCAAAAAGACCCCATGGATTACAATTGTTGGTCTATTAGCTTCGAGGCCATCTATATGCTGGTGTGC